TTAAGCCATTGATAAGCGCGTGTTCGTACACATGAGTTGCATGTCCGTTGCACGTATGATGCACATTCTTTGCACATCTATTGCACGTACATTGCACATGCGTTGCATGGCATTAAAGATATTGAATTTATTAGTCATTCCCTTGATGACAAGCTCAAAAAGATTCAATGACAAATAACGGAAAATTCAATTCATTAATTAGAAGATTGATCAGGGATTGACAGATTTTGGAAATCCCAATCTCTAAAACCAAGAGATTATCAATTTCAAGAATCGAGATATTGCAAATTTTCGGGTCGCATAGGGAAGTCGCACATTCAAAAGTACGAGTAAAGTACGGTTTGAAAAGCAAACCGGCATGGGCATCCATGGGATGGGATGGGGAATTGGATTAAGTGTTGACAGGCGAGGGAGAGAGAAGAGAGGCCAAAGCGAGTATTGGACTACCCCGCCCTATTTGATCGTTCATTGGTAGCGAATTTTGAGTAGGAACATCACTCAGAGTTTCACACTAGAGGAGAGGGACTCTCCTCTGTTTATATATGTTCATATCCTCTAGAGAGATTAGCTAAGTGAAGATGGCTACATTGTTCTTCTTGGTCATGCTTTCTCTCACCGCCCTCGCCGCCGCCGCGAATGGTTCCGAGGTCCAAACTATTGTGCTAAACATCGGTAATAACGACGTCTGTTTTGGCAACATTCTACCTATGCCGGAATGGGTGGCCATTATCGTGGAGAGATTCATGGTCTGGTCGTGATTATTATTTTGGGCATTCTTTTTGTCCTTTACAAATTTTGTAAAAATCCAACCCGGTGAAAGTCAAGAAAAGGGGAGGTGGAGGTCCAAATAGGAAATGCGTAGAGAATGAAAAGAATAATACTACTAAATTGAACCCTGAATATTTCTATTAATGAACAAGTCATGGTATTTTTTATTTATAAGAGATCTTAGTAAAAGTCTCTTATATTTGTCACGGTTTTTATTATTGAATTAGTCATGTTTCCATTTTTATGTGTCATGCTGTGCCTTTACCATTAAACAAACCTAAGTGCCTTTTCAACTACGACGCATAAGGCCGACACGAGCAATGTTAAGCCATTAACAACACTCTTCGCCCAACGTCTGCTGCCCCGAACCCAGTCGTCAACACATAGCGAAGCATTTGCCGGCGAAGCTGCATCTGCACGTTGCCGACGACAGCATTTATCATCGGCGTTTTGAGCTTGCAGTCAAATTCTAACAACACCAACGAGAAATTGTGAAAGATCGAGCCGAAAAGACCTCGCTTTGATAAGCCACGGCGACTCTAGTGCCTGAACACGAATTGCAGTTAACTTCGATCAGCAAACCGTGAAGAGCAACTTTGCTTCGCCGGAGAGCGCCATCGTACATTTGCAAAAGCAAAAAAAACACAAAAGAAAAAGAAGACGACGCCGTTGCCGGGGATCGAACCCGGGTCACCCGCGTGACAGGCGGGAATACTCACCACTATACTACAACGACCTTGTTGCTCTCGTCATAAATTAAATTTATTTAGTCTTAACATTGAACGTTCTTTTCTCTCCATCTGTATCTCCTCTTCTTCCTCCTTTGCCATTCTCACAGCCACTTCCGTAACAGACGTCCGAATTAGGGCAACATGTGTGGGCAGGAACGAAATCGTTTCTCCCCCTCCTGCCAACCTTGTGGTACTCGACCATTCCTGAGCTCTGCTGCCTTTAACTTCAGTTCTCATATATAAGGTCTTGAATCAGATTCTGGTTACTACGGTAATGAAGAAAATTGTTCGTAAGCGAAAGTTAGTTGTTCTATCTGTTCTTTGTTACCTGATCGTGCTCTAGCAGCTTGTTCCATTATGGTAATCAAAAAAATTCTTCGCAACGCTGTGCCGGGGTTGCTGCCCTGCTGCCTCCAACACTGAGCCTAGCCGACTGACGCCGCTCGCTTGCCGTTCGACGTTGCTGCTGTTCCCGAACCTCAGCACGACGCTGCTGCTGCTTGGTGATCCGCTGCATCAAGCCGCGGGCCGAGCAGCACCTTCCTGGCCGAGCCTGTCCCGCGCCGACGAGAGGAGGTCCGATGCCGTCCCTGCCCTGTTCCGGCGACGCCACGGGCTTCCCCCTCACCGCGACGACAGTTGCTGCTCCTTGCTCCGTAACTGATCTGCCTGCTGCTCTCTATCTGGACAACGAAGGCAGCCGCGACCTCCGCACCGTGACGGACATCTGCGAGACTCCTCTGTTTTTGCAGGTCTCGCATCGCGTGTAAATAACCGAATAGAAAAAAGTATGCTATTTGACCTAGGTCAGTAATCATGATGGTTTTATCTGTTTTTCTCAAACGTGTGGATACTTTGCGTGGTGGGGTTCGTGGAGGACTGCGTCGGCTTTAGCAGGATGGTGGTGAGTTGGGAAATTCAACAAACAGTTGGAGAGCAGCTGACTCCTCTGCTCACTGGAACGGGACAACAAACAAACCGTGATTTTGGCAACTTTGAACTTTACTAATATTAAAGGATTGCTAAAAAGGGCAAGGAATACTTATCTTCTTTTGACAATGTCTTGAACGGGAGTCGGAAGATCCGTGAAATCTAAAGAACCCGCACGTATCGATACAATTCGGAATTGGTCTTGTTGGATTACGTGATAGACTCTAGTTGCATCGAATTTTTTTATTAAAACTGAACAATCCCACATGATTATGAATTGAGCGTATTTGTTTCTTTTTTCCCCCAAACTTGTAGGCGTGTATTAGCGGATACTTCAAAATACGGTTTTTTCTAAGTGTTTTTAATAGATAATTTAAAACTAGAAGTATGTTTGGAAAAAGAAGATACGATTGTATTTAGTATGAAGTTTATTCATATAATATCATCAAATAAAGATAAAGCACGAGAAGAACATGGAGTAAAAGTAATAGAAGTGGACATGGAAGTGGTGGGGTGTGACGATAAATTGAAGATGCACCAGGCGACAGACAGCTTCTTCGTTCATGGCAACAATAAAGGCTATGAAGGTGGGTTGTAGCGGCTTGAAGAAAGCATTATGGGGACAATAACCCTTCGACAACAATGGAATAGTTTCCAAATTTGACATAGCTCGAGCGAAATGAATGAGAAGTGGTTGAACATCGGCGGCGCCAACGTTGTTAGACTTCTACAAGAGGTTGATGGAGGTACTGTAGATTGAAGGAAGACAGAAGGACAGAAAAATGGTGGAGGGTGGGAGAAAAATGGTGGAACATGAAGTCGATTTAGGTAGAAAAAAAGCTTGTTCATAACATGAAACGAAGGGTGCGTGGACAAAGAGAACTATCGATGGAACTTGAAGAAGAATCATGTGAACGAGGGCATGACAGCAAATGAAGAGGTTCTTCTTCTTTGGCAATATCAACCATCTGCTCTTACATTTTTAGTGAACAATGACTACACCAAACACCTTTATTTCGCCTAGTGATGTTTCGGCCTTCAGTGTGGATTCTGTAGTGTAAAGGTGCCAGCAACCCCTCCACTGTCCCATCAAATTCTGTCTGGTGTTTCATAAGAGTTCACACTAGCAAAAACTTATGTCTAGACACAACCAGAAGCTTCATGCCATAAAGCAACATGCAACCCAATGGCACAAATCATGGACTCTTGTACCGACAGTGAACTGATCAAAGCTCACTGCGCAAGTGAGCATGACCACTCTTTTCACATTAGACCAGACCAAGTGGAGTGAGAGTGAGAGTGAGAGAGACATCATACCCACATGAAAATCCTCGCAAATATCCCAGGCACTAGTAACAAAAGAAATCAAAGCACGTTCTGTGTCCTTGACAGTGCCATTCATAGCTATCGCCAGAGGAATCTTCTTTGCAATTTCATCGTCGGTCGGATTGTCACCATGCATTTTATGCGTTCTCTTTCCTCGTACTTTTACTACCTTCCAAATCGATCCATTTAACACAAATGGTCCTACCAGTATATGCCAGAAAACCAGCCAAATAGGCCATAATTTTCATCAGGGACAGAGGTGGGATCCACATCTTCCCTCTTCTTCGTTCTTCCATGGATAAAACTTGTCTAAAAGGTAGTCTAACTAAAATTTGATTTCCCTTGTTATGTTCATCAAACTAGTCAAGTGTCAAGAATCTATGATAAGCTAACAGAAACTGAAGTGAATTTTACAGAGAAACTTTATGGACGTTGCTTGGTGGATCGCCAATGGGTTTTCTCAACATTTACAGCTATTGAAACTGAAAGTGCAAGGACATGAACCCTTGGACATGAATATGAATCCCTCTTTCGCAGAAAATTTCTGTATCAACCTAGACTTTGAATTCTCTGAGCAAGAAGCATGTACAAACGTAAAATCGTCATCCGTGACTACGTGAGAATTCCAAGTAAGACATCAGATCAGGTATCATATGTACATAGAAAATCAGCAAATGCATAGCCAAATCCAGGGTATCATCCAGCAAATTAAATTACAGGAAGAGCGTAGAAAACCCTGATGCCCATACCAGAAACATAGTTCCTCTGCTCTGGGAATATATATATACCTCAGTCAACTAGATATAGAAGAAAAACAGCTCCCAGACCGAACAAGCGCCGGTGTGACTGAATCGATTCCTGGCAAAGTGCTGCTCGAATTTGACCGGAGGGCCCTCGGCGAATCCAAGCTGCGCCGGATCAGTTTCCCCATGGCAGAGATGGGGTTCTCTGTCTCCTTCAAGGGATCATACGACTTGAACTTCTTGCAAAAGCTGATGTGCCTATTCAAGGCCTCCTCAGTGGATATGAGCCTGTCTGCTCTCAAGACCTCATCCTTCACCGCCTGAATGCAGAGCCCACAAATCCATCTTCCTTGGTACCGTTCTCGAATCCGGAGGATATAGGCAGGGGTGCATTCCTCTGTGAATCCACAGGAAGCACACTTCGCAGTCTCCACTTCAATCAAAGCAGGTGTATTTGTCGTTGTTGTTGGTGGTGGCGAGGCTTGTGATGGGGTCTCTGAGCCTGAGATAGCCATAGCTTGTGAGATAACATTGAACTGAAATTGTCCTCCTCTAATATAACATGTGGGGAAGGAGGAGGAGGAGGAGAAAAGAAGAGAGGAAGATTTGTGTGGGGGTTTTGTGGGCATGTTGCATCATTTCGTAATCACGAGATTTGTTTCCATGTGGAGCAAGGGACATGCCATTCCCCAATAAAAATATAACCTGATTCAATCCAAATTCATTCACATTCCGAGAAATTGTGATGGGTCTCGCATCACACGTGAATAACCCAAGAAAAAAAAAGTATATTATTTCACTTGATGATTCTACTTGCAATGACAACGATTGTCGCGACCGACCTCCAATTTTTTTTTTTAAAAAGGAGGCTCACCTCCGACGGTGCTAAGTCTAGGTTGGGGACTTAACTCGGGCTCTCTCAAGTCCATATCATATCGCGACTTAGGGTTTATGTTTTTAACCTGCAAGTGATTTTTTCTAGAAGTCACCACTAATCGGTTTGAGGTGGGTCGATTAGACATCCAAGTAAAGTAACGGGAGAATCACCCTACTTCTACGAACTAGAGATTAAATGAATTCGGGGACTTGGTTACATTAGTTTGGTAACTAATGCCCTTTCGGTTCCTTTTTACCTTGTTCATTTTAGAAAATATTTGTCAGGCAATTTAGATTAATTTTAGGCCATTTCTCCTAACATGTGAGGTGATCAAACGAGTACACAATTATTAACGATTAGAAGTCAAATTAGATATGCAGCCTAAGCTTTTAGCCCTAACTAAAGCGATAACATTTAAAACATGACAATTGATGCAATTATATTCTAATTAAAAATACCATGCATAATAATAATACAACAGTAGCGAAAATAACACGCAAAATGCTACCGTACGTCCTATAGGATTATCCGATTTAAACATGATCATTAATCGAATAATTCATATAATTTAGAAAAATATTCAAAAATACTAATATCTAAACTATTTCCTAATTTTAAAAGAAAAAAAATAATTTTTTAATTTTTTAAAAAATAATATTTTTAATTAAAAATAATATAATATAAATATAATATCTGACTGAGTCGGGTCGGCGGATCCGGATCCGGTCAGAACCGACCCGGACCCGACCCGGAAGGAGAAAAGAATTAAAAAAAAATAAAAAAAAGGGGGAACCAAGTCAGGCTTTTCGCCCAACCCGGTTCCGACCTGAATTTCCCCATTTCAGACCCGACTTCCCTGTTTCTCTGCTCTACGTGGCCACGACTCCCCTGTTCTGCAGGGCTTCGCTCAGTCGTCGAGGGGCACTGGCTTCCGCGGCCGGCGACCACGACTGCCGACGGCCTCCCTTCTTCGGTCGGCCCCGGCTTCCATCTCAGTCATCCTGGGGCGAGAACTCCCCTTCGCCTAACCGCCTCTTACCGGACTGACCGAGAAGAACCAGCTACGGCCGAGCCTCCACGTCCGGCCGTGAATGATGCTCGGCAAGTCACGGCCTTCAACCAGGGCTGCTAACGACAGTCTCTGTCCTTGCTGACCCCTTCATGGTCGGGACAACTCTGGGAACAAACATTCTCGGCACAAATTTTTAGATCTAGTTGAAGCATTTGGTCGAGCAGGTGGAAGCCGCTGCAAAAATGGCGGATCCTTGGCTCAACCGGGATTCATACCCGAACAGGCACTTCCGGTACGCGACCTACAACACACTTAGCGACGAGACGAAGACGGATGGGGGCCGGAGTTCGCGTGGGCCAGCGGGCCGCGAGCTCCGGCCAACACGTAAAAAAAAACAGGGTAGAAAAAACAGGGGCGCAACTCACGGAAAGAAGGGTCTCAGGTAGCGTCGATAGAGGGCTCGAGTGTGGCTGCTACCGGAGGGATTCACTCGGCCTCGCTCTCTCTCAGTCGTCACTCTCGGTCCCTCTCTCGTTCCCTCATTGAACCGGACCCCCCTTCCCCTGTTTTTCATCTCTCAACCGAGCCCTCCCCAGGCTCGGCGGCGAGAGTTGGTCGCTGAGGCTGAGGCGCGGTGGCATTCAGAAGCTCCCTCTTTCTGTCTCGGCTCAACTCTCATGGCTCCTCTCCAGATCTCGCTCAATCTTACTCTCGGTCTCTATCTCTCCTTCACCAAACCGGACCCCCCTTTTCTCTCTTCTCTGTTTTCGCCTTTTATAGTGGCCGGTGGCCACCTGCTCCGCCTCCCTTGGCCGCTTGTTCTTTGCTCTGTCTGCTCTGGCCTTGGCTTCTCCTTGGGCAGAACGTATCAGCCATTCCTTGGTTGAGTGGCGTTCAATGCACAGGGAGGAAGGAGCGGGGAAAGAGAGGAGAGGGAAAGAGAGAGAAGCTGGGTTGGGCTGGGGGAGAAGGAGGAATGGGCTGGGCCGGCCTTGGCCTGGCCCGGTCTGATTTATATATATTTAATTTTTTTTAAAAAAATTTATTCTAAATTTATTAAAAAAATATGCTTCAATATGCCCTATTAATGCAAATGCACCTAATGTCTATATGCAAAGCAATTAAATAACATTTTTTGTTTTTAGGAATTAAGGACATTAACCCCTAAAAAATTTTATAATTAATTTGGGGTAAAATAGGTGTTAACAGCTGCCCCTATTTGAATGTGAGTTCATAGGTTGGGTTCAAAGATAAATGACACCTAAATTTGGCCCATGCATGTTCAATGAATGTTATTTTCTGCGGGATCATTTGTCCCATTTTTTAATGATATAATATAAGATGATGCATGCTAAAGCAAATAAAGACATACCTGAGGTTACTTACCTTGCTAAGAAGGTAGAGTAATTCCAGATAGTTGATATTGTGTGTCGAGGATCCGAACCTTTCTTTGGTCGCCTCAACTGGATTTTCGTTTGTCTAGGACCCATACTTATCTTCGATCACCTTGATGAGAAAATCGTTTATCTAGGACTCGAACCTATCTTTGGTCGCCTTGATTGAGGTTTGCTTGTCGAAGTACTTGAATCTTGTCAAAAGTACCTAAAAAGGCTTAATCTGAACAGAGGCGATCGATCTCATGTTTGGGGAGTACCGTAACAATCGTAGGTACTTGGCGAACAGAGGTCGGTCCAATGTTCGGGGGGTACCATAGCAATCGTAGGTACCTGGTGAACAGAGGGTCGGTCCAATGTTCGGGGAGTACCATAACAATTGTAGGTACTTGGCGAACAGAGGGTCGGTCCAATGTTTGGGGGTACCATAACAATCATAGGTACCTGGGGCACAGAGGGTCAGTCCAATGTTCAGAGGTACCAAAACAATCGTAGGTACCTGGTGAATAGAGGGTTAGTCCAATGTTCGGTTTTGCTTGCTTAGTACCCGATTCGAACGCACAACAGGGCGATGAATGCCTGCTTAGTCCTTGAAGCTTTTCTCGAGCGCACCACATGACGATGAGTGCCTGCTTAGTCCCTGAAACCTTCTTCGAGGGCACCACAAGGCGATTAAAGTGCCTATTTAATCCCCAAAGCCTTTTTCGAGCACACCACAAGGCGATGAGTACCTGCTTAGTCCCCGAAGCCTTCTTCGAGCGCACCATAGGGCGATGAGTGCTTGCTTAGTCCCCGAAACTTTTCTTCGAGCGCACCATAGGGCGATGAGTACCTGCTTAGTCCTCGAAGCCTTATTCGAGTGCACCACAGGGCGATGAGTGCTTGCTTAGTCTCCGAAACTTTTCTTCGAGCGTACCACAGGGCGATGAGTACCTACTTAGTCCTCAAAGCCTTCTTCGAGCACAGCACAGGGTGATGAGTGCCTGCTTAGTCCCTAAAAATTTTCTTCGAGCGCACCACAAGGCGATGAGTGCCTGCTTAGTCCCCGAAGCCTTCTTCGAGCGCACCATAGGGTAATGAGTGCCTGCTTAGTCCCTGAAACTTTTCTTCGAGCGCACCACAGGGCGATTAAAATGCTCAAGGGGAATACTTGGCTAGTATCACCGGTCCTTTAGGCATGTCTTCCGTTAGACATGTTTCTGTGCAAAAAGTATGCGCATTCGTCGAGGAAATAGATAATTAAGGTTATTCTAGAAGGCACATTTCAAAGCTCACTGGAGCTGTAGATAACTCATGTTAAAGTTCATGCATGATGATTTTGCCATGTTTGCATCACCAAATATCCACCAGGGGTAATTATCAATTAAGACAATTGTCGCTTGCAAAGTGGACTTCTTAAGATGCTGAATGAGGGACCTTCCACTCTTCATTGAAAAGGGGTTGTTTGTCCTGACCATTAATGCGAGAACATCGAAAACACTTAATCTGACCGTTGTCACATCGACAAGGGTATGAGTTTTCTCGCAAGCGGTACGATCTTGCCAATCTGAGAGGTCTTTATCAGGATTGTAATACAGGCTTGGTCAATGGCTTATCAAAGAAGATTGTCCAAATCACGACCATAAAAGAAAATATTCCGCAATCATCTCTGGGTTTACAAGTCAAGAATCCCGTAAAATCAGACAGAAGTAGTCTTGCTCGCACTTCCTCGAGCGATGTTTATAAACATTTGAACTTTACGTTAATTCAGGTGCCATAGTCAGAAGAGACTTCATGAGGGACGTAACGTAGGCTTGGTTTACAGGTTGAGAAACGAAATGATCATTAGGCTAAAAAATGTGTGTAGGGGTGAGAATTGGTGCTCATTTTGGCATTGCCACTAGTTTTTTTCTCCACTGTCAGGATCCACTTTGAAAATCCCCGAGGGAAATTTGGCGCTTTGGTTTCTTAGACTTTTATCCAACAATTATGAATTCGCTTGGGTATACAACTTCCTTTACAGTTGGAATTCATTTTTTGGTTATTTTGTCTATGGGCATTGGCCTTGCTTTTACCAGGCACACTGCTTTTTTATACCCCTAGTTTTCAGTATTTTTTTATTTATGAGCATTGATCTTGCTTTTACCAGGCATACTGCTTTTTCACGCCCTTAATTTTTGTTGATTCATTTCATCATTTTTTTGTGTTCTTTTGGTGTTGTCAGGACTAACCTATCAAGTTTTGAACAAAACAATATTATTAGGCTCTTGGGGTTTTCAACTTCAGTTGACACTCCGGACCATGATGTGTTTGAACTGTGATAACCTTTGCCTTGCCCTAGTGTGGGAGATGATCACCAACTGGATTCTTACGAAATGAAACTACAAGCTCAATTGGGCTAGGAAGAGATATAAGTGTATGGGACAGAAGAAGAACTGCTCTTCGTCATCCTAGGGTTTAAATCATCGTGAGAGTTTATCCGCAATATTAACACTCGAAAATTGATGCAAGT